TTTTTTTTTTGGGGGGGGGGTCCCTATTACGGCTATAGTATAATGAACCCTCCAAATCCCTATTCTAGCTATCAAGGCCCCTCAACCCTAAACCCCGATAGCAGCCCTTTTATATAGAACCCTTTGAGGAAGCCTTTAAAGGAGCCCACAAAAGCCGATTCTAACTATCAAGGCCCCTACCTTATACACATCTCCCCCTAAACCCTAAACCCTAAACCCTACACCCCTAAACCCTAAACCCTAAACCCTAACCCTAAACCCTAAACCCCCCCGGCCTCAGCCATGAAATTCTGAGCCGAAAAACTCAAGACCCCAACGCTCTAAAATAGGGTCCCTTTTAGGGTTCCCTTAAAGGGATCTATAAGGCTTTCTATATCTATCAGGCTACTATAGGGTTCTATAGGGTTTTAGGGTTTTTAGGGTCTTTGTTTTACCAGGGTGCCGTTCTTATTTTGGGAGCTAGAAGGGGACCCCTAATTTAGTGCACTACACATTTTGGACCAATCCCTAAACCCTAAACTCTAGGCCCTAAACCCTTGACCCCAAACCCTAAACCCTAAACCCCAATCCGAGTATGTTGGCTCGGCCTGGTAAGGACTTCTAGCTGTTCTGCAGTTGGAAAAGGGCCCCTAAACAAAAAAAAACACTCCGAAACCCTCAATCCTGCTTCAGTCCTAAAGCTCCCCCCAACTGAGAGCCTCACACCCTTCTATTTAGGGTTTAGGGTTTAGGGTTTCCTTCTAGACTTTTGAGACACGTCATTTTGAGCCAATGATCTCCCTGCATCCCTGAATGCTAAGCCCCAAACCCTCTACCCAGAACCCTAAAACCTGAACCCTAAGCCCTGAACCCTAAGCCCTGAACCCTAAGCCCAAAACCCTAAACTCTGGCATGAAGGTGGCGCAAGTGGCGAAGCACTGCGTGGGAATCCCAGTGCACTGTTGTGTTTGTTGGGCGACATCAGCCTTTGAGAGCTTTGAGTGGCTGCTTAGGGATTCATAGAGGGTTAGGGTTGGAGGTTTTCAGGGCCTTTGGGTTTGGGGTGGTTTTGGGCTTTGGGTGTAATGTCAATGTCGGAGCCTAAATGATTACCAATACTGTTTTGGGGGGTTCCTTATTATACGCATAGTAAAGAGTATAGTCGGCCCCAAAACCCCATTCCAATTATGAAGGCCCCTATATTAGTTGCTTTGGGTTTGGGGCTTTGAAGGTCAGGAGTTGCAGCATGCTGCAGCTTTGGGCTCGCCCTTGCGTGCTGCAGCTGATGCACAAACATGCCAGTCCCCTGGCTCCAAGTATGCAACTAGTACGTACTTTGGTGTCTAAACTTTATAAATCCCTTAACCCTAAACTGTACTCTGGGCTAAATAGAGCCCCAGAAATGGCTTGAAGCTTACTTGCACCGGATGTCACAGGGTAAGGTGTTGGAAGAGGCTGCGACACTCGAAGCTTTCAACAGCGGCAGCAGCAAGAGTATATTCGGATGGCAGTCAGACTGGCAGTCAGATATACTTGGATCCAACATCTAGGTTTCCGACTGCGGGCATTGCTACAAGCATGTCGCTTACAGTTAAAGTGGATTACTCAGTGGGAAGACAGTGAACGTGCAAGGAAGCTTGGATGATGAGCCCTAAGGGTCCATGTACCTAAATAGTAGAACATTGGCCCTAAAGTACCAATATAGGGACTACATTAAGGCCAATGTATATACTATTTGGGTACATGGACCCTTAGGGGAGGTGAGATCGTTCAGGCTTCGGGCGCAAAGCGAGCTTGGAGTCGGAAAAGGGCGCCTGGTAGACGCGTCCGGCAGGGTTTTAGATGCATCTGCGACGATGAAGGATTCCAATGTGCAGAATGGTGATTCGTTAACGCTGCACGTAAGCCGAAGTCAAGTGCTAGCCTCGCAGTGGGCTTTTGCTGCTATCCTCGGCGATGGATGTGTCGTGGCCTGGGGTGCTCCTTCAACAGGTGGTGATTGTAGTGGTGTGAAGGATGGGTTGCAGAATGTAGAAAAGATCCAAACAAATCGGACTCGGTGCGCTTTTGCGGCTATTCTTACAAGTGGATCTGTCGTGACCTGGGGCGATTCCGGCTCTGGTGGTGACAGTAGCCCCGTGCAGGAACAGCTGAAGGATGTGCAGCAGATCCAAGCCTCTGGCGGTGCTTTTGCTGCTATTCTTGGTGATGGAACCGTCGTGACCTGGGGTGATTCCAAAGCTGGTGGTGACAGTAGCTACGTGCAGCATCAGCTTAGCAATGTACGGCAAATCCAAGCTTCTCATGCTGCTTTTTCCGCTGTTCTGGACGATGGCTCTGTCGTGACTTGGGGTGATGCTCACTACGGTGGTGACAGTAGCGCTGTTCAGGATCAGCTGAAGAATGTTCAGCAGATCCAAGCCTGCCTTGGAGCTTTCGCTGCCATTGTCAGTGATGGATCTGTCGTGACTTGGGGTTATTCTCGCGCTGCTAACAGTATCGATGTGCAGGCTCAGCTGACGAAGGTGCAGCACATTCAAGCTTCAAAAGCCGCTTTCGCTGCCATCCTTGAAAGCGGGTCTGTCGTCACCTGGGGTGATATTCCCTTTGGTGGTGACAGTAGCCCTGTGCAGGAAAAGCTGAAGACTGTGCAACAGATACAAGTCTGTCAGGGCTTTTTCGGCGATGCGTTCGCGGCCATTTTAGGCGACGGATCTGTCGTGACTTGGGGCGATTCCGGCGCTGGTGGTGACAGTAGTTGCGTGCAGCATCAGCTGAAGGATGTGCAGCAGATCCAAGCCTCTGGCGGTGCTTTTGCTGCAATTCTGCATCATGGAAGTGTTGTGAGCTGGGGTCGGACTACCGCTGGTGGTGACAGTAGTTGCGTGCAGCATCAGCTTAACAATGTGCGGCAGCTCCAAGCCTCTCAAGGCGCTTTATGTGCTGTTCTGGACGATGGATCCGTCGTGACTTGGGGTGATGCTCGCCATGGTGGTGACAGTGGTGCTGTTCAGGATCAGCTGAAGGGTGTACTTCAAATCCAAGCCACTGATTCTGCTTTTGCTGCCATTCTTGACAGTGGACGGGTCGTCACCTGGGGTTCTCCTCGCGCTGGTGGGAACAGTACCGCTGTACAGGATCAGCTGCTTAATGTGTAGCAGCTTTTCGAGCAGCCCATAGAGTGGGGAACTTTTCATTCTCACCCTTGTATAATCCCAAAGGTTAACCTTTAGGTTAGGAACCCAAAAAGCACATAAGCATAAGCATTTTATAGCGATATCCCTACCT